AATGGATGAACCCCCCAAACCCCGGGCCCTGAACCCTTGGGGGGGACCCCCAAAGCGGGGGGGGGGCCCATCCCATCCCCCCTCCCCACGTCCCGTCCCAAACTTGCCCAAACTCCCCGAACCGCCCCGAAATGACGCCGTCGGAAAAAGCAGCTCAACCCCCCCCGAAAAGCCGGAAAATGACCCCAAAACGGCCCCAAACCCCTAAAAACCGTTCAGAAAGGGCAAAACCCCCAGACAACACCACCCCCCCCCTCCCCGCACCCCATATTTCGGGAGGGGCTTTTTCCACCCACAGGCCCCGAGTTTTGCCCTTTTTGCCACCAAAGCAGCCTTGAAACCCGCTGGGTTAATGTCACTTTTTGATGCTTTCCAGCCCCGAATTTGGCGGGTTTTACCCCAGAGCGGCTGCGGGTGCAGTGCCCGGGACCCCTCCCCACTTTTGGGGGGGCTCTCCCCCCCCCTCCCCGGGACTTCCCCGGCTCGAAGCGACGTGAAACTCGCCCTGAGCCGGCAGGAAATGCGAGGTGGGAGGATTTTGGGGTGGGGGGTGGAACAGACGCGGCCACCTCGGGGCTCTGCTCCCCCTCCCCTCAATGGAACCCCCTCCCCACGGGGACCCCAGCCCCAGCCCCTGTGCCCACGTGTGGGGCCCCCTTGTGAAGACCCTCAAACCCTCCCTCGTGCCACGTGTGGGGGTTCAGCCCCCCCCTAAAGCCCCCCAAATCCCGCTCACCGGCTGCACCCCGAGTGCTGCCCGCCCTGGCACCCCGCTTTTTATGCCCCCTCCCGGTGATGTCAGAGACCCCTCCCACACCTGGGGGGGGCCTGGGCCCCCCCCCAAAATCCTCACACCTCTCCTCTTCCGCCCCCTCCCCATGGTGGGGGCAGCGGCACCGCCCCAAACTTTCACTTGTTTGGGAAAGGAGGTTGAGGTTCCTTTGGGGGGGAGGCGGGGGGGGGGCAAAGGGACTCCCCGTGCACCCCCGGGGGTGCAGACCCAAAGGAGGGACCCTTTAACCCCCTCTTTGTGACCCCCACCCACCGGGGGCCTCCCAGTCTCCGGGCTCCCCCCCAAAAAAAACTGGGGGGGCTCAGGAATCCGCGGAGACCCCGTTTGACCCCCAGTGCCCCAGTTCAAGTGCTGTCCCACCTTGCCCTCCCCTTTAATCCGCCCTTCGTGACCCCCACCCGCTGGGGACCCCCAAACTCCAAGAAGAGCTCCAGGACCCCAAAACACCCACAAGAGCCGGGGGGAGGGGGGAATTGGGGTGGAGGGCCCGTTTAATGCCCCCCCACCGCGTGCCCCCACCCCTGCTGGCCACGCCTTCACCATTCAAGCCCCGCCCACACACCTCAAACCACGCCCTCTCCTGCCACGCCCGAAGTGAGCCAAAGTCCTGCCCCTCCGAACAGGCCCCGCCCCCTTTCCGCGGCCCGGCCCTGCTCATTCCCCCAGGCTCCGCCCCCGTCATACCCCGCCCATTCCATCAGACCACGCCCATTCCCTTAGACCCCGCCCCCGCGTCCACCGCAGACCCCTGCCCTCCGCCGTGGCCCCGCCCATTCTCCGGCCCGGGCCCCGCCCTCCGCCATGGCCCGCGCTCCCGCCTCCGCCCCGGCTCTCCCTGGCCGGACTCCTGGCGTGCCCCGCGCGGGGGGCCCTGCCCGCCCCCCGGACCCCGGGACCCCCTGAACCCCCGGGACCCCCACGACCCCCGTGACTCCCCCGGCCCCGCCTGCCTCGCCCCTGCCGCTCCCCTTCCTCACGGAGGACCCTGCGCCGCCCCCCGGGGTCCCTGAGCCCCCACGCGCCCCCCTCGGGCTGGGGGACCTCGATGGCCCCGCGCCCCCGGCCCCGGGGTCCCGGCGGGTCCTGTTCGCCGACGCTCTGGGGCTGCCCCTGACCTGCCTGCGGCAGTACTGGCCCTGGGACCCCCGGGGAAGGGGGGCACACGGGGGCGGGGAGCTCCCGGCGGGAGGGGAGGGGGCGCGGGGGAGCCGCCCACCCCCCTCGGGAGCTGGATGAGGCCTGGGAAGGGCAGGTAAGAGATTGGATAGGGGGGGAGAAGCTAAATCTGCATGAGGGACCCCCCCCAAAAATGAGGTCAAACTTCCCCACCCTCCGCATGTGCCCCCCGAAATTGGGGGGGTGGGCTGTGGCGCGTGCCTGGACCCCCTCCCCGGGCTCCCCTCGGTCCCCGAATGTGGGTCACAGTTTTGGGGAGGAGCAGATGCTGCCCCCACCCCTAATTTGGGGGGGGGGGGAACGGGGTCCTCTCCGATGACCCCCTCCTCGTTCATGTCCCCCCAAAAGGCCGCAGGAGGCGGAGGATGTGCAGCCCTCACCCCCGAGCACGGCACAGGTACGTATTGCCCCCCCATTTTAGGGGTCCCCCCCGTTTTGGGGACCTCCCCCAAATTTAGGGGTGCCCCCCCAGTTTTGGGGGTCCCTCACCCCTTTTCTCCCCAACAGAGCCCGACCCTTCCCCACCGCCCCCCCCGGATGCGGAGTCACCGCTCCCGGCACAGGTGAGCCAAACCCCTCCCCCAACCCCAAATTCTGGGGTGTCCCCTAGCACGTGGGGTACCCCCACCCCTTCAGCCCCCGAAGGAAGGGGGTCCCCAAACTGTGCCCCCCCCAGGCCGCCGAGGACGAGGCGGTGGCGCGGGAGCTGGAGCAGCTCTACCTGTCCCACCTGCGCCGGCTGCGGGGGACCCTGGCGACAGCGACCCCCCGCGGAACGGGGGCCCCTTTGCCCGAGCGGGCCCCCAACACGTCGCTGGCCAACGAGATGGCCCTGCGCTACGAGGGGGGGGGTCGCTGCAGCCCCCCGGTGCTGCTGGGCAGGGGGGGGCCGCTGGAGGGGGCGCTGGTGGTGCCCGCGCGGCGCCGCGGGGCAGGGGGCGCGGGGGGTTAGGGAGCCTGCGGGGGCTGCGGGGTGGTCCTGGCCTTGGCCGTGCTGGTGCCCGTGGCGTGGGGGGGGGACGGGGGGGGTCCCACGGCCGCGCTGGCCCTGGGGCTGTACCTGGCGCTGGCCTGGCTCACGTGAGGGGGGGGTGTCCCCAAATTGTCACTGCCCACCCCCCCCTAAAGCATTGTCACCGCCCAGAGTCTCACACACACACCCCCTGGTTTCACCCCTGAGAAAGTGGGACCCCCCTCCCCAAATCGGTCTGGGAGGGGAGGGGGGGGTGAGTTGTGGGATGGGCACCCCCAAATTGCCTCCTCCGGGGTGAGGGGGGGGCTCGGTCACTGTGTGGGACCCCCCCCGGGTGTTGGGGTGCCCCTGTGTACATACAGCCATGGAACGATGGTGTCCCCGAGTTCTTGTCGTGGGGGGGGCTTTGAGGGGGTTTTGGTGCAGGGCAGGGAGGGGGGGTTTGTCTGTCCCCGTTGTGAGGGGGCTGGAGTCTCACACCCCTCCCCATCGCTGTCGCAGCCGTTTCCTGCCCCGGGAAAGGTCCCAGCAAAGGTCACGGGGCCCGCGGGTGACAAACAGAGCCCCCCCCCCGGGACGTGGGGAGGGGGCTCTGGGTGACAAACAGCCCCCCCCCGGGAAGAGGGGAAGGGGCTCTGGGTGACAAAATCCCAAAATCCCCCGGGAGGTGGGGAGGGGGCACTGGCATCCCTTTAGGGGTGGGAGGGGCTCACCTTCGGTGCCATGTCGTGGGTGCTGTGTTGTGACAGAGGGGATGTGTTCCACGGGGGGTCCTGAGTATCTGGGGGATAATAATTATGGGAGCATTGGGGAGCAGGTCCTGAGCCCCTCAGGAAGAACGGGGGGGTCCTGAGCCCCTTGGAGCAGCTGGGGGTCTCAGCCCTCTGGACTCACGGGGGCTGGCCCCTTAAGGTGGGTCTCATCCTCCTCGAGGTCACTCAGGTAACCTCGAGGGGGTTTCATCCAACCTGGACTCGCTGGGGTGGGGTCCCAGCTCACCTGGACTTATAGGGGGAGGATGGGGGGTCCCAGCCCCTCAGGTGACATGGGGGGGGGTTTCCTCAGCTCCTCAGGACTCATGGAGGGTGGCGGTCCCAGGCCCCACGGGTGATAGCGGGGGGGGGGTCCCAACCCACCTGGACTCAACTGTGGAGGTGTCCCAGCCCTTTAAGTGACAGCAGGGTGGGGTCCCAGCTCACCTGGGGTCACTGTGGGGTGTGTCCCAGCCCCTCAGGTGACATCGAGAGGGGTCCCAGCCCCTCCTGGGAGTCCCTTTGCTCCCCCCTCGGCCCCTCCTTGGGGGGGGGGGGTCCCTTCACCCCCTCGCCCCTCAATCCCCTCATGGGGGCGGTGGGCGTGGCCCGTCCCCTCACGGGGTGGGCGTGGCCTGTCCCCTCACAGCGGGGCTCTCGCGCCGCCTGCACGTGCGCTCCTCGCTGTGCGCGTGCGCGCCCCTCCCTTTCCCGGGGCTCCCTCGAGCCCGCCAAAGCTGCGCGCTCCCATTGGCCGCCGCTTTCCCGCCCTGCGCGCGTGACGCCCGTGGCCACGGCAACCCGGCCGGTGACGGGCGGCAGCGCGCACGCGCGGGGTGAGTGGGCGGGGCTCCGGCGGCGGCGCGCGCGCTTTTTCTTCCCGCTTCCCCTCCCCTCCCCCCCCACCTCCCTCAGCCGCCGCTGCGGCCCCGGAGCCGCCGCGCCATGAGCGGGGCCGGGCCCGGGCCCGACCTGCCGTCCCCGGCCAAGCTCCGCCGCCTGGACGAGAGCAGCGGGACGGGCCCCGCCGCCGCCACCGCCACCGCCGCTGTTCCCCCGCGCCGGGAGAGCTCCCGTCCCCCCCACCCCGGTGAGGGCCGCGGCGCGCGCGCGCGGGGCGGGAGCGGCGGGTCTGGGCATGCGCGGGGAGGCGGCGCCAGAGCGCCCCCTGGCGGCGGAACGGAGAGCGCAGGAGGGGCCGGAGACCCCAAAGGAGGGGATGGAGACCCCAAAGGAGGGGATGGAGACCCCACAAGAGGGGATGGAGACCCCAAAAGAGGGGATGGAGACCCCACAAGAGGGGATGGAGACCCCACAAGAGGGGATGGAGACCCCAAAGGAGGGTGGAGACCCCAGTGAAGGGCGTGGAGACCCCAAAGGAGGGGATAGAGACCCCAGTGAAGGGCGTGGAGACCCCAAAGGAGGGGATAGAGACCCCACAAGAGGGGATGGAGACCCCAAAGGAGGGGGTGGAGACCCCACAAGAGGGGATGGAGACCCCAGTGAAGAGGATGGAGACCCCAAAAGAGAGGATGGAGACCCCAGTGAAGAGGATTGAGGCTCTAAAAGAGGGGATGGAGACCCCAAAGGAGGGAATGGAGACCCCTGGGAATGAGAAGACCCCCAAGGATGAGATGGAGACCCTCAAGAAAGGGGTAGAAACCCCAATGAGGTGCCTGAAGACCCCCAAGAAGGGGCTGGAGACCACCATGGAGCCAAGAGGAGAGCTGGAGACAGCCATCACCCCATGCTTGGAGCAAGAAAACAGGGGTCTGGAGACCACCAGAGGGGCTGTAGGGAGTCTGGAGACCACCAATGGGTGCAAGGAGAGCCTGGAGACCACCATCAGCCACTGCTTGGAGCAAGAAAATGGGGGTCTGGAGACCCCACTGGAATCCAAAGGGAGCCCAGAGACCACCAGGGAGGTCCCAGGAACCACCAACGGGCGCAGGGGGAGCCTGGAGACGGCCGTGAGCCGGTGCCTGGAGCAGGGCAGGAGGAGCAAGGGGGGCTCAGAGACCACCAGCAAGGCACAGGGGGGGCTGCAGAGCGACGTTCCCCCCACCAGCAGGGGCCTGAAGACCACCAGCAGGCGCAAGGCCGGGCTGAAGACCCCCGGGAGAGCCAGGGGGAGTGTGGAGACCACGGGAACCCAGTGCTTGGACTGGGAGAGGAGCAGGAACGGGGGCCTGGAGACCACCAGGGAGGGCCTGGAGACCACCAGGGAGGGCATGGAGACCACCAGGGAGATCTTGGCAGGTCTGGAGACCACCGTGAGGCCCAAGGGGAGCCTGGAGAGCACCGTTACCAGCCATGTGAAGTGGGACAGAGAGCAGGAGGAGGGTCTGGAGACGACCACTGAGCCCACCAGGGACGTCCTGAGGGGTCTGGAGCCCACCAGGGCTGTCCTGGGGGGCCTGGAGCCCACCCCCACGGCCCGTGTGGGGCAGAGCCAGGGTGGCCCCGTGCTCCCAGAACTGGGGGGGCTCCCGGGGCCCGTGGAGGTCCCGGACTCGTTGGATGTCCCAGTGCCCAAGTGCCAGGAGGCCGAGGAGAGCGCGGTGATCTCGGTGGGCGAGGACGAGGAGGAGGAGGAGGAGGAGGAGGGGGAGGAGGAAGGCCCAGGGCGGTACCTGGCGGCCCTGGAGGCCGTGCAGCTGCAGCTCGAGGCCGTGGAGGAGGAGGCCGCCCGAGCTTTCCGCCGGCTCCGCGCGCGCTTCGGGCTCCGGCGCCGGCCCCACCTGCAGCGCCGCAACCGCCTCATCCAGCACATCCCCGGCTTCTGGGTCACCGCCGTATCCTGGGCACGGGGGCTGGGAGGGGGTTTGGGAGGGGGGGAACCCCCAGCCCCACCTTTCCTTGACCCCAGAGCCCCCAGTTCCTGAACCACCCGCAGCTCTCGGCCATGATCAGCGACCGCGACGAGGACGCGCTGAGCTACATGACGAGCTTGCAGGTGCCCTGGGGGGGCTGAGGGGGGGGGTTAGGGGGGTGTGGACCCCCCCACCCCATCAAAAGTGACACGGGTGGGCCCTGCAGGTGGAGGAGTTCGGGCAGAGCCGCCCCGGGTGCCGCATCCGCTTCTTCTTCAGCGTCAACCCCTACTTCCAGAACGACGTCGTGGCCAAGGAGTTCGTGCGAGGCCCCTCCGGTGGGTGAGGGGACCCCAAAACAGCTCTGGGACCCCCAGAGTGGGGGTGAGAAGGGTCCCCCAAAACAGCCCTGGGACCCCCAGAGTGGGGGTGAAAAGGGACCCTAAACCAGTCCTGGGACCCCCAGAGTGGGGGTGAGAAGGGTCCCCCAAAACAGCTCTGCGACCCCCGGAGTGGGGACCCTAAAAACAGCTCTGGGACCCTCAAACTGTGGGTGAAAACCAGACTCCAAACCCAGCCCTGGGACTGCCAGAATTGGGGTTAAAAGGGTCCCCCAAATTTGGGGTGAAAAGGGTCCCCAAAACCAAAAAGGGCCCCCCAAAGTTGGGGTGGAAGAGGCCCCCCAAAACAACTCTGGGACCCCCAAATTGGGGATAAAAGGTCCCCAGAATCACCCTGGGACCCCCAGACTGGGGGAGAAAAGGGTCCCCAAAAATAGCCATGGAACTCCCAAACTGGGTGTGAAAAGGGTGTCCAAAAACAGCCCCAGAACCCTCAAGCCGTGGGTGAAAAAGAGATCCAAAACCAGCCCTGGGACTGCCAGAATGGGGGTGAAAAGGGTCCCCAGAAACAGCCCTGGGACCCTCAAGCTGTGGGTGAAAAATTCCACCAAAACAGCCTTGTGATCCCCAAATTTGGGATAAAAAGGGTCCCCAAAATCACCCTTGGGACCTCCAGAGTGGGGGTGAGAAGGGTCCCTAAAAACAGCTCTGGGACCCCCAGAGTGGGGGTGAAAAAGAGACTCCAGAACCAGTCCTGGGACTGCCAGAATGGGGGTGAAAAGGGTCCCCCAAAACCAGCTCTGAGACACCCAAATTTGGGTAAAAAAGGTCCCCAAAATCACCCCTGGGACCCCCAGAGTTGGGGTGAGAAGGGTCCCCAAAATCACCCCTGGGCCCCCCAAACTGTGGGTGCAGAAGTTTCTCCCCTCAGGAGATGCTTTATTTTAGACCCCTCGGGGTGCAGGGGGGGCTCCCCCAGATCCCCCAGCCCCAGGAGGGGTTTGGGGGGTCTGCAGTGACCCCCCCATGTGCTCCCCTCCCCCCAGGTCACCTGGTGTCCCACTCGACCCCGATCCGGTGGTGGCAGGGGCAGGACCCCCGGTCCCGGCCCCACAAGGGCCCCCCCGGCCCCCGCAGCTTCTTTCGCCTGGTTTGGGGATCACAGCTTCCCTGCGGGGGACCGAGTGGCTGAGGTGAGCCCAGTGCTCCCAGTAACCCCCCAGTGCTCCCAGTAACCCCCCAGTGACCCCCCAGTGCTCCCAGTGACCCCTTCCAGTAACCCCTTCAATGCTCCCAGTGATCTCCCAGTGCTCCCAGTAACCCCCCAGTGCTCCCAGTAACACTCCCCTGCTCTCAGTGATACCCCCAGTGCTCCCAGTAACCCCCCAGTGACCCCCCAGTGCTCCCAGGAACCATCCCAGTGACCCCCCAGTGCTCCCAGTAACCCCTCCCAGTAACCCCCCAGTGCTCCCAGGAACCATCCAGTGATCCCCCAGTGCTCCCAGTAACCCCCCCAGTGCTCCCAGGAACCCTCCCTGTTCCCAGTGACCCCCCCAGTGCTCCCAGTAACCCCCCAGTGCTCCCAGTAACACTCCCCAGTGCTCCCAGTAACCCCCCAGTGACTCCCCAGTGCTCCCAGGAACCATCCCAGTGACCCCCCAGTGCTCCCAGTGACCCCTCCCAGTGACCCCCAGTGCTCCCAGTGACCGCTCCCAGTGACCCCCTCAATGCTCTCAGTGATACCCCCAGTGCTCCCAGTAACCCCCCAGTGCTCCCAGTAACACTCCCCAGTGCTCCCAGGAACCATCCCAGTGATCCCCCAGTGCTCCCAGGAACCGTCCCAGTGGTCCCAGTGATCCCCCAGTGCTCCCAATGACCCCCCAGTGACCTCCCAGTGACCCTCCCAGTGCTCCCAGTGACCCTCCCAGTGACCCCCCAGTGCTCCCAGTGACCCCCCATTGCTCCCAATGACCCCCCAGTGACCTCCCAGTGACTTCCCAGTGCTCCCAGTGACCCCCCAGTGACCCCCTAGTGCTCCCAGGAACCCCCCCAGTGATCCCAGGAACCCTCCCAGTGCTCCCAATGACCCCCCAGTGACCTCCCAGTGACCCCCCCCCAGTGCTCCCAGTGCTCCCAGGAACCCTCCCAGTGTTCCCAGTAACCTCCCAGTGCTCCCAATGACCCCCCAGTGCTCCCAGTGCCCCCCCAGTGCTCCCAGGAACCCTCCCAGTACCCCCTGACCCCCCCTGTTCCCCCCCAGATCATCAAGGAGGAGCTTTGGCCCAACCCACTCCAGTTTTACCTGCTGGGGGAGGGGGCTGAGGGCCCCCCTGACAGGTGAGTCGTGCCCTGGGGGGGTCAGGGGAGCTCTGGGGGGACCCCCAAAGCTTCACTCCCCCCTCCAACTCCCCCCTCCCCCCAGTGAGAGCGGCGAGGACTGCGTGGTGATCGAGGACGACGACGAGGACGTGCAGGAGATCCCGGACGATGGGGACGGTCAGTGACCCCCCCTCCCCGACCCTGGGGGACCCCCAAAACCTCTCCTCAAATCTGGGGGGAACCCTAAACACCCCCCCAAAACCCTGGGGAGCCCCAAAACCGCCCCAGCACCCGGGGAACCCTAAAACCCCCCCAAAACCCGGGGGAAACCAAAACTGCCCCAAAACCTCCCCCAACCCTGGGGGGACCCCAAAACCTCTCTCCAAATCTGAGGGAACCCCAACCCCCACCCAAAACCTGGAGGGGGCCCAAAACCCCTCCAGCACCCTGGGGGAACCCCTAACCCCACCCCCAACATCCAGAGGGGAACCCCAAAACCCAGAGGAAACCCAAAACCCAGGGGGAAAACCCAACCCCCCCCCAAAATCTAGGAGGGAACCCCAAACCCCCTAAGACCTGGGGGGGAACCCCAAATCCCCCCAGAACACGGGGGGTACCCAAAAACCCAGGGGGTACCCTAAAACTTCCCCCAAACCTGGGAGAAACACCAAAACCTGGGGGAGAAACCCCAAACTCCCTTAACCCTGGAGGGGACCCCAAAACCTCCCCCCAAACCCAGGGTGGGACCCCAAAACCTCCTTAACCCTGCGGGGGGACCCCAAAATCCCTCTCAAACCCAGGGGGAACCCGAAAACCTGTGGGGGACCCTGAACCCCCCCAAACCCCGGGGGGGACCCCAAAACCTCCCCCAGTTGTCCCTGACCCCCCCAGTCCCTCCTGGGGGCTGATTTGTGCCCCCCCCAGGCAGTGGAGTGGAAGAGGTTCTGGCTGAGGAGCCCCCCGAGGGACGCACGGACCCCACCGGGGGCAGGACCTGATTTGGGGGGGCTGCACCCCCTCCCCCCCCAGGGCATTGCGGGTAACGAGGGGCTGAGGGGGCCCCCAACACAGCTCAGGGTGTTTGAAGGCCTTGAACCCCCCCAAAATCCCCCCCATCTCCACCACACTGGGGGGTTGAGCGGGGGGTGTCCCCCCAATTCCCCCTCCCACACACACACGGGGAGAAACACAACCATTTCCTGACCATTTTTGTACATTTTGGGTTCAAAAACTTGTAAAGTTTTCTTTTTATATCTAAAAATATATTATAATAAAGATTTATTGGGGTTACAAAAGGCCCCCCCCTTAACTCCAGCCTCCCCTCCCCCGGTGGGTTTTGGGGTGTTCTACTCCGTGGGGTCACCCCCCTCCTCATCTGCGGCGGGGGGGAGGGGCTGCCCCGGCTGCGGGGGGGGCTCCGGGGGGTCCTCGATGGGAGGAGGGTCCTCGATGGGGGGGGGGTCGATGCCGAGGGCCGAGAGGACCCCCAGGAGCTGCTCCCGCGCGTCCCCCGCGAAGCGGTTCCGGAGGAAGGGCCGGAGCCCCTCCCCGAGCGGAACACGGACCAGCCCCTGCACCTGCGGGGAGGGGCGACCCCCGAGTGACACCCCCGCGGGGACACCCCCACAGCGACAGGGACACTCCCTCAGGGACAGGGACCACCAGAGGGACAGGGACACCCCCAGAGTGACAGGGACACCCTGACAAGGACAGGGACCACTGGAGGAACAGGGACACCGCCTCAGGGACACCCCCACAAGGACAGGGACCACCAGAGGGACAGGGACACCCCCAGAGGGACAGGGACTCCCCCAGCGTGACAGGGACACGCCCGGATGAACCCCGCACAGGACAGGGACAGTGACGGGGACACCTCCACAGTGACAGAGACACCCCCTATATCCCCCCGTCCCCTGCTCTCCAGCCTGCTCCCGGTTCTCACCCCTCCCATTCCCGTTCCCCCCATTCCCGTTCTCCCACCGCCATTCCCAGTATCACCCCCATTCCCAGTGTCCCCCCCCATTCTCGATGTCCCCCATTCCCAGTGTCCCCACCCACCATTCCCGGTGTCCCCATTCCCGTTGTCCCCCCATTCCCGTTGTCCCCCCCATTCCCAGTGTTCCTCCCATTCCCGTTGCCTCCCATTCCCGGTGTCCCCCCTCCCATTCCCGTTCCCCCATTCCTGTTCCCCCATTCCCGGTGTCTCCATTCCCGTTCCCCACCGTTCCCAGTGTCCCCATTCCCAGTGTCTCCCCCCATTCCCGGTGTCCCCATTCCCAGTGTCCCCATTCCCGTTCCCCCCATTCCCGATTGCCCCATTCCCGGTGTCCTCCCCCATTCCCAGTGTCCCCATTCCCGGTGTCCCCATTCCCGTTCCCCCATTTCTGATCCCCCCCATTCCCGGTGTCTCCATTCCCGTTCCCCACCGTTCCCAGTGTCCCCATTCCCGGTGTCCCCATTCCCGTTCCCCCCATTCCCGATCCCCCCACCTCCAGCCCGTGTTCGGCCGCCCTGGCCCCGCCCCTCTCGATGCTCTCCAGCTCCTCCAATCGCAGCCGCCGTTCGTACAGGTGCGTCACAAGCCCTGCCCCCTCAGCGCCGGCCCCGCCCCCTCGCCGTGGCCACGCCCTCGCCCCGCGGTGGTCGCGGGGCTGGATCCGCAGCGCGGCCGCCCCCGGGCCCAGCTCCTCCCGCAGCTCCTGCCCAGGGCCGCCTCCAGCGGCTCCCCGCGCTCCGCCAGCCCCCCCGGGAACCCGAACCGCCCGTCGAACCGCAGCTGCATCTGGGAAAGGCCGCTTAGAACCGGGAACACCCCCGGGACCCCGACCCGCCCCCCGGGATCCCGACCTGCCCCCGGGACCCCGACCTGCCCCGGGATCCCGATCCGCCCCCGGGATCCTGACCCGCCCCCGGGATCCCGACCTGCCCGTCGAACCGCAGCTGCATCTGGGAAAGGGCGCTTAGAACCGGGAACAACCCCGGGAAACTCCCGGATCCCGAACCGACCCCAGGAACCCGAACCGCCCCCAGGACCCCGACCCGCCCCCGGGAACCCGAAACCGCCCGTCGAACCGCAGCTGCATCTGGGAAAGGCCGCCTAGAACCGGGAACACCCCTCGGGAAACTCCCGGGAACCCGAACCGCCCCCGGGACCCCGAACCGCCCCCCGGGACCCTGAACCGCCCGTCGAACCGCAGCTGCATCTGGGAAAGGGCGCTTAGAACCGGGAACAACCCCCGGGAAACTCCCGGCATCCCGAACCGACCCCCAGGAACCCGAACCGCCCCCAGGACCCCGAACCGCCCCCCGGGATCCCGACCCGCCCGTCGAACCGCAGCTGCAGCTGCAGGGACCCCGAACCGCCCCTCCGAGCTGTATCTGCGGGCACAGCCCCGGGAACCCGACCCGCCCGGACGGGGGTGGGGGTTGTCAGCGGCGAGACCCCCCTCCCTCCCCGTCCACCCCCGGCCCGATGCCCGTCCCCGCCGCCGCCCCCCACTCACCAGCACGGCGTGTCGGGGCGGCGGCGCCCCGGGGGGCAGCGGCGCGTGCAGCAGGACGTGGCAGGCGTGGCGCCAGCCCGTGTCGGTGTCCGTGTCGGTGTCCGTGCCCGGGTCGGTCCCGGCCCCGCTCGGGTCCCGTTCCCGGCCCAGCGCCAGCGCCTCGTCCCGGCTCAGCAGCCGCGGCCGCTCGGCCCGCATGGCGGCGCCGTCACTGCGCGCCCCGGCCAATCAGAGAGCGAGGGGGCAGCCCAGGCCACGCCCCCGCCAATCAGAGAGCGGGGGAGGAGCCGAAGCCACAGCGAAGCCCCGCCCCCCGCTCCCCTTCCCGATGCCCCCGCGGTTTTTGGGGGTGGGAAAAGGGGGCGAGACTCCCTTTAAGCCCCCCCGACACCCCCAAATTAACCCCCCCACACCCCTTCTTACCGCCACGAGCGCCCCCAGCCCGGGGCCACACACAGAGACTGCACAGGCTGGAAAGGAAGGGGCTTTATTCCCCTCCCTCCCCAGGACCAAGGGGGGTCCCAGGAATTTGGGGGACCCCGGGGGGTCCCTACGAGGCCGAGTCGGAGGCCTCGGAGCTGTCCTTGACGTCGGTGCTCTCGGTGGTCTCGCTCACCTCGCTCACGTCTTTGCTGTCGCCCCCTGTCCTCGTGGGGGCCCCGAGGGGGGTGGGGGCTCCCCTGACCCACAGACCCCTCCCACCCCGGGGGCCTGGTGGGGCCGGGGCCGCCCCTGCCTCCTTCTGCTCCACCTGCTTCCTCAGCTGGGGGGGCAATGGGGTTACTGGGGGCAATGAGGGTTAGAAGAGCCTCCCCCCGTCCCAGAAAGGGTTTTGGGGGGTCCTGGGGGGGTTTCTGGGGGGGCTTCACCTCGTCTGCCATCTGGGTGAGGTCCCGTTTCATGGCGTAGGCGTCCTCCCCGTCCGCGTAGTACTTGGGCTCCACCTCACTGATCCTGGGGGGCCCCGGGTTTGGGGGGGTTTGGGGAGCGGGTTTTGGGATGAGGGGGCCGGTTTTGGGGTGCTCCCCACTCCCCATCCCAGCCCATTCCCCTTTTTGTGTCCTTACATGGCCAAAAACTCTCCCAGAGCTGCTCTGAACCCCCCCCAACCCCTCTCCTGAACCCCCCAAACCCACCAACACCCCCCAAAAGCCCCTGAACCCCCAAAACCCTCTCAGAGCCCCCCAAACCCCCTCAGAAACTCCCAAAACCTCTTCAGCGCCCTCTCAGGCCCCACCAAATTCCCCCAGAACCCCCAAAGACCTCTCTCAGAGCCCCCAACCCCCTCAGAAGCCCCCAAAACCATTCCAGAACTTCCCCAAATCCTCCCAAACCCCTCAGAGCCCTCTCAGGCTCCCACTCAAATCCCCTCAAAACCTCCTACAGTGCCCTCAGACCCCTCAGAACTCCCCCAGCCCCCAGAAACGCCCCCAGACTCACTGGAAGTTGAGGGTGTTGGAGCAAAGGTGCAGAGCTGCCTCGGTTGCTGCCCGGGACACAATGGGGGTTATTTTGGGAGCTCTGAGGGGTTTGGGGTCTCTGGGGTGGGTTGTTGGTTCAAGGCGGGGCTCCGGGTGAGTTGTTGGTTCATGGGGGTCTCTGGGCTTGTTGGTTCAGGGGGGCTCTGGGGTTGGGGGTCTCTGGGGGTGGTTTGTTGCCTCAAGGGGGACTCGGGAGGCTGGGGGCTCTGGGGGCGGTTTGTTGGCCTCAGGGGGCTCTGAGGGGGCTGGGGTCTCTGGGGGTGGCTTGTTGGCTCAAGGGGGGCTCTGGGGGTCTCACCTCTTGCGGACGTGCAGCGAGACGTACTTGGCGTTGAAGTTCTCGATCATGGCCCGGCTCGCCTGGTCCATGAGCTTCTGAGCCAGCCCCAGCCGCCGGTGCGAGCGCTTCACGGCCTGGGGGGGCCAAATACGGGATAGGGGACCCCAAAAATGGGGTGGGGGACCCCAAAAATGGCGTGGGACACCCCAAAAACCCCCCAGGGCACCCCAACCCACCCAGGCGCCTCCGGGAGTTTTTGACTGCCTGGGGGAGGGGGAGCCCAAAAATGGGATGAGGGACCCCAAAAACAGGGTGGAGAACCCAAAAATGGCATGAGGGGACACTAAAAACCCTTGGGAGACCCCGAAAACAGGATGGGGGACCCCAGAAATGGGAAAGGGGACTCCAAAATCCTCCAAAAACCCACCCAGGAACATCAAAACCCACCCAGGCACCGGTGGGAGCATTTATGGTCTGGGGGACCCAAAAATGGGATGAAAAATCCTAAAAACCCCTGGGGGACCCTAAAAAAGGGATGGAGAACCCCAAAACCCCACCCAGGAAACAGCAGCCCCCCCTCCCCAAACCCTCTGACCCCCTCCAAGAGCCTCAAGGAGCCCCCCTAAGACCCCTAAAGAGCCCCCCCCAAAAAAAAAACCCTCCAAGAGCCTCCCAAAGACCCCCCCCAAGTGACCCCAAATGCCTCAAAGCGGACCCCAAACGCTCAGAGCCCCTCCAAGAGCACCCCAAAACTTCTCAAAGGGCCCCCAAAGACCCTCAGGGAGCCCCCAAAACCCTCCAAGAGCCCCCCTCGACCCCCCTCAAAGCCCACCCTGAACGCTCAGCCCTTCCCCCTGAACTCTTTGAGGAGGCCCCAGAGACCCTCAAAGAGCCCCCCAAAACTCCCCTGAGATGACCCCAAACTCCCTCAAGGAGCCCCCAAACCCTCTCAAGGAGCCCCCAAACCCTCTCCCCTACTCCAAGAGCCCCCCCAAACCCCTCTAGGACCCCCCAAACCCCCTCCTTACCAGGGACGTGATGTGTCCGTGGGGACGTCATCAGGATCCTCCTCCCTGCACGAGGATGGGGGGTCGAGGGCTGAGACCCCCAAATCCCCTCGGGAGAACCCCCAGAGCCCCCAAAGCCGGGCTAAGGGGCAGGCCCCAGCCACACTCACATCTTGGCCAGGACGTATCCCACGATCTTGCCGTTCTCGTCCTCGGCGATGTACGACAGCTGGGGGCACGAGGGTTAGGGGCATGGGGGCAATGGGGTCAGGGGCATGGGGGCACGGGGGGGCACAGAGGGTCACGACAGCTGGGGCACATGGGCTAGGGGCATGGGGGGCACTGGGGGTCAGGGGCATGGGGGCACGAGGGGACATGGGGGCACAGAGGGTCACGACAGCTGGGGGCACGGGGGCACGGGGGTCAGGGGCATGGGGGCACAGGAGGACATGGGGGCACGGGGGTCAGGGGGCATGGGGGCACGGGGGACATGGGGGCACAGAGGGTCACGACAGCTGGGGCAATGGGGGTCAGGGGGCATGGGGGGACACGGGGGACATGGGGAGCTGGGAGGGGTATGGGGGACATGGGGCCAGGAGGGCACAGGGTCTGGGGGCCACAGGGGATCAGAGGAGTCTGGGGGCACAGGGGAACATAGGGGGACATGGGGGGCACAGAGGGTTGAGGGGGCACAGGGGGGTCATGGGGGGCACAGGGGATCAGAAGGGCACGAGGGACATGGGGGCACAGAGAGGCTGGGGGCACAGAGAGGGTCTGGAGGAGCACAGGGGACATGGGGGTAAGGGGCACAGGTCAGGGGGCACAGGGGGGTCAGGGCGGCACAGGGGGGCATGGGGGCATGGTCAGGGAACAGGGGGCTGGGAGGGCACAGGGGTTGGGGGCCACAAGGGGGCACAGGGGATCAGAGGAGTCGGGGGGGCATAAGGGGGACATGGGGGGTCCCGGTGGGGCTACAGGGGACTTAGGGGGCACAGAGGGTCAGGAGAGCTGGGGGCACATCCGGAGGAGGTGCACGGGGGGCGGGGGTTCAGACTATGGAGGGGTTCATAGGGGTCAAGGGGGTCCAGCTATAGGAGGGCTACAGGGGTCCCAGGGTGCTATCGGAGGTTCCAGCTATCCCGGGGGTTCCAGCTATCCTGGGGTTCCAGCTATCCGGGGGTTTCCAGCTATCCCGGGAGGTTCCAGCTATCCCGGGGGTTCCAGCTATCCCGGAAGGTTCCAGCTATCCTGGGGGTTCCAGCTATCCCGGGGTTCCAGCTATCCGGGGGTTCCAGCTATCCCGGGAGAGGTTCCAGCTATCCCGGGAGGGTTCCAGCTATCCCGGGGGGTTCCAGCTATCCCGGGGGTTCCAGCTATCCCGGGGGTTCCAGGCCCCACCTGCGGCCAGGAGAGGCCGTGGTAGAAGTAATATTTCATCTGGTAGTTCTCGGGCAGGCACAGCAGGTTGCAGTGCTGCATGTTCATCAGGTCCTCGGGCTGGGGGGCACCGGGAGGGCTCTTCAGAACCGCCCCGAGAGCCCGGGACCCCTCCCAGCCCCCATCCCCCTCCCCGAGGCCCTGCACCCCCAAGAGCCCCCCAAGAGCCCCGTGTGCTGCTCTAGGCCCCCAGGACCCCCTCAGAGCCCCCAGAAGGCTCCGGACTCCCTTCCAGAACCCCCTGAGACGCCCGTGTGCCCCCCAGACCCTCCAGCTGTGCCCGGTGCCCCCTCACAGCCCCCCACCCCGAGGCCCACCCCCTCAGATGCCCCCCGGCCCCCCTCCCAGAGTCCCCCTGTAGAGGCCCCCAGGGTGCCCCCTTCCCGACCCCTCCCCAGTCCCCGGTTGCCCCCAGGCCACCGACCCGCGCGTTGCGGATGTTCATGGTCCCGGTCCTGTTCCCGATCCCCGTTCCCGGTTCCCGGTCCCGGTCCCGGTTCCGCTCCCGGTCTCTCCCTCACGCGCCGCTTCCGCCGGAAGCGCCTCCTCCCCTCCCAATCAGCGCCGGTCTCGCCCCCTCCGCCCCTCCCACTCCGGAATGACAGGCGCCTCAGCCAATCGGTGACCGAGGAGAGAGGCTAAGACACGCCCACCACCCTCAGCCAATCAGAGGCGAACTCCGGGCGCGCCAAAAGCGCCTCGGGGAGGGGCGGGGTTTAACCTCCCCACCCACCCGCCCCAGCCAATCGCGTGTGGCGACGCTGAGATTGACAGCGCCGCGGACCAATGGAGAGCGAGGGGAGGCGGGGCAGCGCAGGACACGGACACGTGGGAGGAACCCCCTTTATTGCGCCGGGAGGAGGGGACAGGAGGGACACGGGGGGTCCCGGGGGGATCTCCACACCCGGCGGCTCGAGATGGTCCCCCACACCCAGGCAGCGTCTCCGCACCCGGGCAGGGACCCCATCGCGGGGTGTCCCGGCTTCCAGAGGTGCCTCATGGCCACATTCCCGGGGTTTGCCCCCGAATCCCAGGGTATCCCCACTCGGGAGGGTAGTTCTCCCCACTCAGGGGGGTCTCCCCAATCATGGGGGGTGACCCCAGTCCATGTCCCCGTCCTGGAGCGTCCAGCCTGGTGTCCGTGCCCATCCCGGTGTCCCCGCCCCCGTTCGGGGGTGCCGCTCTCAGGGCTGCATCCGCAGGGCCCCGTCCAGCCTCACGACCTCGCCGTTGATCATGGGGTTCTCGGCCAGCGCCTGCACCAGGTGCGCGAACTCGGCAGGGTCCCCGAGGCGCGACGGGAACGGCACCTGCTGCCCCAGGAAGGTCCGGACCCGCTCGGGCAGCCCCGCCAGGAGAGGGGTGGAGAACAGCCCTGGGGGGCACAGAGCCGGGGGGCAATCGGGGGAAGCCCCCACCTCGATTAACCCCACGGTGCCCTCTGTGTCCGTACTGGGGGCTCTGAGGAACCCCGAACACAAGGGGTGAATCGGGGGGGGTCCCCACCCTGAGGATCCCCCAAGGCAGGGGGTGAATTGGGGGGTGTATCCCCCATCAGTGCCCCCACCCAGCACCCCCCGCAGATTCCCAGCAGGGATAACTGGGCTGTGCCCCCCTTCCCCCCCCAGTGCCCCCATTTCCCCCATTCCCCCAGTCCATACCAGGAGTGATGGTGACCACACAGATGCCCAGCAGGGATAACTGGGCTATGCCCTCCCATTTTCTCCCCATTTACCCCCTATTTCCCCAGTCCATACCAGGAGCGATGGTGACCACACAGATGCCCAGCAGGGATAACTGGGCTGTGTCCCCCCTAGTGCCCCCATTTCCCCCATTCCCCCAGTCCATACCAGGGGTGATGGTGACCACGTGGATGCCCAGCAGGGTTAACTGGTCTGTGTCCCCCCATTTACCCCCATTCCCCCAGTCCATACCAGGAGCGATGGTGACCACACAGATGCCCAGCAGGGTTAACTGGTCTGTGTCCCCCATTTACCCCCTATTTCCCCCATTCCCCAGTCCATACCAGGAGGCGATGGTGACCACACAGATGCCCAGCAGGGTTAACTGGTCTGTGTCCCCCCATTTACCCCCTATTTCCCCATTCCCCCAGTCCATACCAGGAGCGATGGTGACCACACAGATGCCCAGCAGGGTTAACTGGGCTGTGTCCCCCATTTACCCCCTATTTCCCCCATTCCCCCAGTCCATACCAGGAGCGATGGTGACCACACAGATGCCCAGCAGGGTTAACTGGTCTGTGTCCCCCATTTACCCCCCCATTCCCCCAGTCCATACCAGGAGCGATGGTGACCACACAGATGCCCAGCAGGGATAACTGGGCTGTGTCCCCATTTCCCCATTTACCCCCATTCCCCCAGTCCATACCAGGAGCGATGGTGACCACGTGGATGCCCAGCAGGGATAACTGGTCTGTGTCCCCCCCATTTACCCCCCCCATTCCCCCCAGTCCATACCAGGAGCGATGGTGACCACGCGGATCCCCAGTGGTGCCAGGTCCCGGGCGATGGGCAGGGTCATGCCCACGATGCCGCCCTTGGAGGCCGAATAGGCCGCCTGCCCCACCTGTGGAGGGGACACGGGTGGCACTGAGGGGTGTCCAGCCCCTCCATGGCCCGGGGGGGTCCCGGGGGTCCCTCACCTGCCCCTCGAAGGCGGCCACGCTGGCCGTGTTGACCACGAGCCCGCGGTGCCCGTCGGGGTCGGGCTGGTTCTGGCTCATCAGTTGGGCGCTGAGCCGGATCACGTTGAACGTGCCCACCAGGTTCACCTGGGCAGGGAGGGAGGGAAGGGGGCTTGAGGAGGGGGTCTGACACCCCATGGCCCCTCCCTGTGCTGGGATGGGACCACCCAGGACCCACAGAGACCCCACAGCCATGGACACCCCAAGAACAGAATGATCTCGTTGGCCAAGGACCCCCCACATTCACCTCGTGGATCAGGGATCCCCCAAACTCACCCACTGATCAGGGACCCCCTAAACTTACCACATTAACAAGAGATCCCCCCAAACCCACCCCACTGACCAGGGACCCCCTGACCCACCTGCCCCATTGACCAGGGACCCCCTCACCCACCTGCCCCATTAATCAGGGACCCTCCAAATCCACCCCACTATCCAGGGACCCCCCAAAGCCCACCCCCATTGACCAGGGACCCTCCTGACCCACCTGCCCCATTGACCAGGGACCCTCCAAAGCCACCCCCCCCCAGGGACCCCCAAGCCCACCCCACTGCCCAGGGACCTCCCAAACCCACCTGTCCCATTGACCAGGGACCCCTGACCCACCTGCCCCATTGATCAGGGACCCCCAAACCCACCCCACTATCCAGGGACCCCCAAACCCACACCCCATTGACCAGGGACCCCTGACCCACCTGCCCCATTGACCAGGGACCCTCCAAACCCCCACCCCCACCCAGGGACCCCCAAACCCACCCCACTGCCCAGGATCTCCAAACCCACCAGCTCCACTGACCAGGACCCCCTGACCCACCTGCCCCATTGACTAGTGACACCCCAAACCCACCCCCACCCAGGGATCCCCTGCACCCCCCACTCACGTTGATGACTTTCTGGAAGTCCTCCAGGTCGTGCACTTTGTCCTTCTTGCTGTTGTAGGTCTTGACGGCGATGCCGATCCCGGCGCAGTTCACGGCCAGGTCCAGGCGCCCGAACCGCTCCCGGGCCACGCCCAGCGCCGCGCCCACCTGGGACGGGCACGTCACCTGCGGGGACATCATGGGGGGGGTCAGGGAACCCCACCTGGGACGGGCACGTCACCTGCGGGGACATCATGGGGGGGGTCAGGGAACCCCACCTGGGACGGGCACGTCACCGGGGAATCTAGAGAACCCCCACCTGGGACGGGCACGTCACCTCCGGGGGGGACAGGGGGGTTGGGGAACCCCACCTGGGACGGGCACGTCACCTGCGGGGACGAGGGGGTCAGGGAACCCCACCTGGGATGGGGGGAGTCAGGGAACCCCCACCTGGGACGGGCACGTCACCTGCGGGGACATCGGGGGGGGTCAGGGAACCCCACCTGGGACGGGCACGTCACCTGTTGGGGACATCGGGGGGGGTCAGGGAACCCCACCTGGGATGGGGGGGGTTAGGGAACCCCACCCGGGACGGGCACGTCACCTGCGGGGACATTATGGGGGGGCTCAGGGAACCCCCACCTGGGAGGGGACATTATGGGGGGGCTCAGGGAACCCCCACGTGGGGGGGTCAGGTCACCTGGGGGGACATCGGGGGGGGTCAGGGAACCCCCACGTGGGATGGGCACATCACCTGAGGGGGTCAGTGGGGTCAGGTCACCCCCACGTGGGGGGGTCAGGTCACCTGGGGGGGTCAGTGGGGTCAGGGAACCCCCACGTGGGGGTGGGGGATAGGTCACCTGGGGGGCAGCATTGGGGGGGTCGTGGTGGGACGTCACCAGTGGGGGTCAAGGTATCACACCCCCCCCCACCTCGGTCACCCGTGGGGTCACGGGGGCCCCACAGCCACTTGGGGACATCACAGGGGGTTCAAGGTGGTCCCACATCGAGGAGGAAAGGTCACCAGTGGGGGGCCAAGGTCACCAGTGGGGGGGTCAAGGTTACCGGGGAAGGGTCAAGATGGTCCCACATTGAAGGTGAAAGGTCACCAGTGGGGAGGTCAAGGTCACCAGTGGGGTCAAGGCCTGACCCCACTCTGACTGGGAGTGTCACCAGTGGGGTCCAGGCTGCACCTACTCTGAGTGGAACTGTCACCAGTGTGGGGGTCAAGGTCACCAGTGGGGTCAAAGCCCCACACTGAGTGAAACTGTCACCAGTGGGGTCCAGGCTGCACCTACTCTGAGTGGGACTGTCACCAGTGGGGTCCAGACTTGTCCCCACACTGAGTGGGACTGTCACCAGTGGGGGGTCAAGGTCACCAGCGGGGCCAAAGCCTGTCCCCACATTGAGTGAAACGGTCACCAGTGGGGGGTCAAGGTCACCAGCAGGGTCCAGACCTGTCCCCACTCTGAGTGGGACTGTCACCAGTGGGGTCCAGACTTGTCCCCACACTGAGTGGGACTGTCCCCAGTGGGGTGCAGGCTGCACCTACTCTGAGTGGAACTGTCACCAGTGAGCGGTCAAGGTCACCAGCGGGGTCAAGGCCTGACCCCACTCTGAGTGGGACTGTCCCCAGTGGGCTCCACACCTGTCCCCACGCTGAGTGCCACTGTCCCCAGGGGGCTCCAGGGCGGCTCCCGTGCCGGGGTGGGGACCCCACCCGTGGGCTCCACGTGGTGACACGCCGGTCGGGGGGGGCACCAGACCAGAAGAACCCCTCCCGGCACCCACTCCCACCCCCCACTCACGTCCGCGGGGGCGAAGGCGCAGTGCTCGCCCAGCTCCTTGGCCAGCTGCCCCCCGGGGGACGCGGGCAGGTCCAGCAGCACCACGCGTGCCCCCCGCTCCACGAGCCGCTCCACCGTGGCCCGGCCCAGCCCGGAGCCACCGCCCGTCACCAGCGCCACCAGACCCTGGAGGAGGGGGGACACAAAGAGAGGGGTCAGTGGGGAGACCCCCAAAACAGCCCCCCACGAGTGGAGTGCGTGGGGAGGGGGAGGGAATCCGTGCTACCTTCACGCTGCGAATCGCCGCCATCGCCGCCCTGGGGAGGGGGGAGGGATTGGGGGAGGGAGAGGGGGAGGGACCTGATCACGCCTCCATCACGACCCCCGATCACGCCCTCCCTCCGTCCCTCTCTCCCGGTCCCTCCTCCGGAGGGGACCGGGGAGAGAGAGAGGACGAGAGAGGAAGGATCGGGGATACCGCGTGGAGGGACCCCGTGGGGAGGGATCGGGGGATTTTGGAGGGAGGGGGCGTTTGATTGGCAGCTCAAGGGGCGGGGCTCACGGGAGTGGGCGTGGCATCGAAGATATGGGCGTGGTTTGTGTGGGAGGGGGCGTGGCCTAAAGCGAAGGGGGCGTGGCCAGAACCCGCCATGTTCACACGGGGGTCCCTGGCGGCGCCGATCGGAGCGAGGATGTGAGGAGGGGTTTGGGGTCCTTGAGGGGGTTTGGGGTCCTTGAGGGGGACTCTTGGGGTCCCCGGGTGGGACTGGACGGGATTTGGGAGGATCTTTAAAGGGAGGAAAACGGGGGATCTGGCGAGGGGTTTTGGGGTCCTTGGGGGGTCTCTGGGATCCTTGAGGGGGTTTGGGATCCTTGAGGGGGTCTCTGGGGTCCCTGGGTGGGACTGGAGGGATTTGGGGGGATCTATAAGGCTAGGGAGGAAAACGGGGGATCTGGAGAGGGTTTGGGGGTGCTTGGGGTCCTTGAGGGGGTGCAGCAGTCCTTGGGGGTTTGGGGTCCTTGGGGGTCTCTGGGGTCCTCGGGTGGGACTGGAGGGGTTTTGGGGGATCTATAAAGGGTTAGGGAGGAAAACGGGGATCTCTGGAGAGGGGTTTTGGGGTCCTTGGGGTCCTCTGGGACTTTGAGGGGGTTTCGGATTCTGGGGGTCTCTGGGGTCCCTGGGTGGGACTGAGGATTTGGGGGATCTTTAAAGGGTTAGGGGAGGAAAACGAGGGATCTGGAGAGGGGTTTGGGTTTGGCCTGGGGGGTTTGGGTCCTTGGGGGAGGTTTGGGGTCATTGGGGTTCTGGGGTCCCTGGTGGGACTGAGGGGATTTGGGGGATCTATAAAGGGTTAGGGAGGAAATCGGGGACTGGAGAGGGGCTTTGGGTTTGGGTCCGTGAGGGGGTTTGGGTCCTGGGGGCTTGGCCCTTGGGGGTCTCTGGGGCTTGGTGGGACTGAGGGGATTTGGGGGACTGTCAAGGGTTATGGAGGAAAACGGGCATCTGTAGAGAGGCTTTTTGGGTCCTTCCTGAGGGTCGTGGGATTTAGTGTCGCCCTCACGACCCCTTTGGTGCCCCTCCCCTCCAGCGCCCTTCCCGTTTTTGGGGTGTTACCCCTCCCTGCCTCCCATTTTTGGGGTGTTACCCGCTCCCTTCACCCCATTTTTGGGCTGCCCCCGACCCTCTTTCCCCCGCCCCCAGGCCGAGGACCCGACTCAGCCGCCTGTGCCGGGTGTGCCGGTGAGCTTAGTGCCTGGGCTTCCAGGAGCACGGATGGAGGTGAGGGGGGGGCTCGTGGGGAGGGGGGGGGGAGCTGGGGCGTTCTGAGGGGTGTTTTGGGGGTCAGTGTTCCCACCCCCTAAATTCATCCCCCTCCCCCAGGAAGATCTGCCAGCACTGCAAGTACCTCCCGGGGAGCATCGTTGGGGGTCCCCCAGCCCTGCAGGGGGTCCTGGCCCGCTGCTCCCTAATCCCACCCCCCAGGGCCCGAGGATTCCGGTGCCCCGAGGAATTCGCCTGACCCCCCGGCCTCAGCCCTGACCAGGTTAAACCTCCCAAGAGACCCCCAGCCCCCCAGAGACCCCCCAACCAACCCAGAGACCCCCAACTCAACCCAGAGACCCCCACACAACTCCCAGAGACCCCCAACCCACTCCAGAGACCTCCCAACAACCCCCAGAGACCCTCCAACCAACTCCATGAGACCCCCACACACGGCTCTGAGACCCCCCCAACTGTAGACCCAGAGACCCCCAACCAACCCAGAGACCCACACCAACTCCAGAGACCCCCACACTGCCCCTGAGACTCCCCAACCACCCAGAGACCCCCCCACCCCCCTCTGAGACCCCAACCCAGAGACCCCCACACCCCTGAGACCCCAGACCCCTCCGAGACCCCCCACACCACTCGTAGACCACCCCCACCCCCAGAGACTCCCCACACCACCCAAGACCCCCACTCCACACTGAGACCCCCACCTGACACTGAGACCCCCTCACCACTCTAGACCACCCCCACCCTCCCAAAGACCCCAACCCCCTAGAGACCCCCAAGCCCCCCACAGAGTTCCCCTACCCCCTGAGACCCCCACCCCACACTGAGACCCCCCCACCACCATAGACCACCCCCACCCCACTGAGCCTCCCAGTGACTCCCACACCCCACCAAGACCCCCACTCCAACACTGAGACCCCCTCCCCACTCTCAGACCACCCCACCCCCCCCACGAGACCCCCAACCCTCCCAGAGACCCCTCCCACCCCGGCCCTGCCCCATTAAGCCTCCTCCCCCCAGGTGTCCCAGTACTTCTCGGAGCTGCCCCCGGCGCTGGTGCCGCGGATCCAGAGCCCCGGGGAGCGGCACCGGCTGCGGGAGCTGCTGAGACAGCTGCCCCCTCACGACCTGGAGGTGGGGCTAGAGGGGTCCTGGGGTGATCTGGGATTTGGGGGGTCCTGAGGGATTTCAGGGGTCCTGGTGGGATTTGGGGTCCTGGGGGGTGCCAGGAGCGGCACCGGCTGCGGGAGCTGCTGCGGCAGCTGCCCCTCACGACCTGGAGGTGGGGTCTGGGGAGATTTGGGGGATTTGAGGGGTCCTGGGAATCATTGGGGGTCCTGGGGTCATCTGGGGGATCTGGGGATCTTGGGGGATTTGGGGGTCCTGAGGGTTCCTGGTGAGCGGCACCGGCTGCGGGAGCTGCTGCGACAGCTGCCCCCTCACGACCTGGAGGTGGGGCTCTGGGGGCTTAGGGGGTCCTGGGGGGTTTCAGGGGGTCCTGGGGGAATCTGGTGGATATGAGTGGTCCTGAGGGGATTTGGGGGTCCGGAGGGGTGCCAGGGAATGGCACTGGCTGTGGGAGCTGCTGCGACAGCTGCCCCCACACGACCTGGAGGTGGGCTCTGGGGGACTTGGGGGAATCTGGGGGTCCTGGGGATTTCAGAGGGTTCTGTGGGATTTGGGGGTCCTGATGAGCGGCACCAGCTGAGGGAGCTGCCCCTCACGACCTGGAGGTGAGGGGGGCTCTAGGGGGTTGAGGGGGTCCTGGGGGATTTCAGGGGGTCTTGAGGGTCATTTGGGGGATTTGGGGTTATCTGAGGGGGTTTGGGTGAGTCCTGGGCAGATTTCAGGGGTCCTGGGGAATTTCAGGGGTTCCTGTGGGGTCTTTGGGGTCCTTTGGGAGATCCCAGGGGTCGTGGGGTCCCAGGGGATCCTGGGGGTATTTGGGGGTCCTGGGGGTATTTGGGGGGGTCCTGGGGGGATTTGGGAGGATTTGGGTGGGTCCTGGGTGGATCTGGGGGGTCCTGGGGGTCATTTGGGGTTTCATCATCCCCATGACCCCCTCCTCCCCCCAGTGCTGGTATCAGTTGGAGGAGACAATTTTGGGGGATGGTTTTGGGGTGATTTGGGGTTAATTGAAAGCCTTTTGAGGTGATTTTGAAGTGTTCTGGTGATTTTAGCACGTTTGGAGGCATTTGGGGTCTTATTTAGAGATATTTGAGACCGTTTTAGGGGCGATTTTTCGCTGCTTTGTTATTTACAGGCAGTTTGGGGCATTTCAGGGGTCATTTTGGGGCGTTCTGAGGCATTTTTGGGGGCGTTTTGGATGGTTTGGGGTTGCTTTGGTGCTTACAGGAAGTTTTTAGACGTGTTTTGGGTTATTTTGGTGCGTTTGGGGGGCATTTTTGGGGCCCACCCCCCCAATTCCTCCCCCCCCACAGCCCCAGTTTTGCCACGCCCTGGGTGAGACAATTTTGGGGGGTTTAGGGTTGTTTTGTGGGGTGGGAGTTGTGTTTTGGGGTGATTTGGGGTCGTTTCGGTATTTACAGGCTGTGGAGGCGTTTTTGGGGTTATTTGGGGTTGCTTGAAGTTATTCGGGGGCATTTTGGGGTTTTGGCATTTTAGGTGATTTGGGGGCAATTTTGGGGTTGTTTTGGGTTACTTTGGGGTGTTTTGAGGCATTTTTGGGGCATTTAGGGGCATGTTTGGGGTATTTTGAGCCATTTTAGGGTTATTTTGGGTAATTTTAGGTTACTTTAGGACACGTTGGAGCAATTTTAAGGTTATTTTGGGTTACTTTGTGGCGTTTTGAGGCATTTTTGGGGCGTTTTGAGGTGTTCTTGGGGCATTTAGGGCCGTTTTGGGGGTTCTTTTGGGTTATTTTAGGTTACTTTAGGGCACGTTGGGGCAATTTTAGGATTATTTTGGGTTACTTTGTGGTGTTTTGAGGCGTTTTGAGGACCTTTTCAGGCATTTTTGGGGCATTTTGAGACATCTTTGTGGTGTTTTGGGGTACTTTGGAGCAGTTTGAGGTTGTTTTGGGGTGGTTTTGGGGTTCAACCCCCCAATTTTACCCCCCTCCAGCCCCAATTTTGCCACGACCTGAGCGAGTCGGAACGTCGGGAATTGAAACTTTTCGCCCAGCGCCGAAAACGGGAGAATTTGGGCCAAGGGAGCGTCCGGCCCCTCCCCCTCACCAGCCCCGGCACCGTCTGCCAGCAGGTGAGGGGGGGAGGGGAGGGGCACCCTGAAAATCAGCACCCCAAAAACGGGGGGGGAACCCAAAGTTTGAGGTGAAAACGGCAAAAACTGGGGGGGAAAACCTCAAAAATTGGGGGTGGAGAAACGGCCAGAAATCGAGGAGAGGAAAGGCCAGAAATTGGTGGAAAAGATCCCGAAAAATGGCACCCCAAAAAATGGAGAGGGGGTAAAAAAACCCCAAAATTGGGGTAAAATAACCCCAAAAGTTGTGGGGAAAATCTCAAAAATTGGGGGTGAAAACGTCAAAAATTGAGGGGGAAAGACCAGAAGTTGGCAGAAAAGACCCCAAAAAAAGAGCACCCCCAAAAATGGGAGACAGCCCAAAAACAGGGGGGGGCTGAACCCCAAAAACTGGGATAAAAACCCCCAAAATCTGGAGGTGAAAACCTCCAAAATTGAGAGGGAAAACCCCCAAAATTGAGAAGGAAAGGCCAAAAATTGGCGGAAAAGACCCCAAAAAAGAGCACCCCTAAAAATGAGAGGCAGCCCAAAAATGGGGGGAAGGAAGCCCAAATTTTGGGGTGGGGGTAAAAACAGGGGAAGGAATCTCAGAAATAGGGTGGGAGCTTAAAAATGGGGGGGGACTCCAAAGATAAGGTGTGGGACCCCCTAAAAGGGGGGTGGGACCTCAAAAAGAGGGGGTGAGGGACCCCAAAATCAGAATGGGAGCCCAAGAATGGGTGAAAAACCCCAAAAAGGTGTGACAAGACCCCAAAAAGGGAGGGGTGGGATGCATTGGGGGGGTTCCCTGAGGATGGGGAACTCCCTGACCCCAAAATGGGAGGGATGAGACCCCAAAACCAGCTGAAAAACCCCAAAAAGAAGGGAGTGGGATGCAGAGGGGGGGTTCCCCGAGGTCAGGGCACCCCCATGACCCCAAAAAGAGAGGGATAACACCTCAAAAAGAGGGGGGTGGGATGCACTGGGGGGGTTCCCTGAGGTCAGGGCACCCCCCAAACCCCAAAACGGAAGGGATGAGACCCCAAAATAAAGGAGAGGAACACATGGGGGGGTTCCCCGAGGTTGGGACGCCCCCCAGACCCCAAAAAGGGAGGGATGAGACCCCAAAAGAGGGGGTTGGGATGCACTGGGGGGTTCCCCGAGGTCGGGGCGCCCCCCTGACCCCCCCTTTGTCCCCCCCTGTCCCCGCAGTGTGGGGGGCCGGTGCGGGGGGGGTCCCTGGCGGTGTTTGCGGCGCGGGCGGGGCTGGGGCTGTGCTGGCACCCCCCCTGCTTCCAGTGCTGCCACTGCCACCAACCCCTCGTGGACCTCGTCTACTTCTGCCCCGGGGGGAGGGGGGGGCGCCTGCTCTGCGGGAGGCACCACGGGGAGACCCTCAGGGACCGCTGCCCCGGCTGTGACGAGGTGAGGGGGGGGTTGGGGGTGGTTATGGGGTGTTATGGGGTGTTATGGGGTGGTTATGGGGTGGTTATGGTGGGTTATGAGGTGGTTATGGGGTGTTATGGGGTGTTTTGGGGTGTTATGGCGTGGTTATGGGGTGGTTATGGTGGGTTATGGGGTGGTTATGAGGCAGTTTTAGCTGGGTGTTGGTTTATGGGGTGGTTATGGGGTGTTTTAGGGTGGTTATGGGGTGTTATGGGGTGTTATGGGGTGTTATGAGGGGTTTGGGGTGGTTTTGGGGTGGTTATGGGGCAGTTTTGGGGTGTTATGGGGTGCTATGGGGTGTTATCGGGCTGGGGAGGCACCACGGGGAGATCCTCAGGGATCGGTGCCCCGGCTGTGACGAGGTGAGGGGGCTTTGGGGGTGACTTGGGGGTATGGGGTGGTTATGGGGCAGTTTTGGGGTGGTTACGGGGCAGTTTTGGGTGATTTGGGGGTATGGGGTGGTATGGGGCGCCATGGGGTGTTGTGGGGTGGTTGTGGGTTATGGGTGGTTATGGGGCAGCTTTGGGGGCTGGGTGCCGGTTTATGGGGCGTTATGGGGTGTTTTAGGTGGTTATGGGGTGCTATGGGGCGGTTTTGGGTGCTATCTAGGATTATGGGGTGGTTATGGGGCGTTTTGGGGTGATTTTGGGGGTGTATGGGGCATTATGGGGTGTTATGGGGTGGTTACGGGGCAGTTTTGGGGCTGGGTGTTGGTTTATGGGGTGGTTAGGGGGTGTTATGGGGTGCTATGGGGTGTTATGGGGTGGTTATGGGGTGTTATGGGGGGGTTATGGGGTGTTATGGGGTGGTTATGGGGTGTTATGGGGCGGTTATGGGTGTTATGGAGTGGTTATACAGGTGAGGTGGTTATGGGGTGTTATGGGGTGGTTATGGGGTGTTATGGGGTGTTATGGGGTGTTATGGGGTGTTTTAGGGTGGTTATGGGGTGGTTATGGGGTGTTATGGGGTGTTTTAGGCTGGTTATGGGGTGTTATGGGGTGTTATGGGGTGTTTTAGGCTGGTTATGGGGTGTTATGGGGTGTTATGGGGTGTTATGGGGTGTTATGGGGTGTTATGGGGTGGTTATGGGGTGTTATGGGGTGGTTATGGGGTGTTATGGGGTGGTTATGGGGTGGTTATGGGGTGTTATGAGGTGGTTATAGGGTGTTATGGGGTGTTATGGGTGTTATGGGGTGGTTATGGGCGTTATAGGTGTTATGGGGTGGTTATGGGGTGTTATGGGGTGTTATGGGGTGGTTATGGGGTGTTATGAGGTGGTTATGGGGTGTTATGGGGTGGTTATGGGGTGTTATGGGGTGCTATGGGGTGTTATGGGGTGGTTATGGGGTTATAGGTGGTTATGGGGCAGTTTTGGGGTTGGGTGTATGGCTTTATGGTGGTTATGGGGTGGTTATGGGGTGTTATGGGGTGCTATGGGGTGTTATGGGGTGGTTATGGGTTGCTCCTGTTATACCACCCTAAAGCCCCCCCAAACCCCCATAAAACCCCCCATAAACCCCTGTGTACCCCCCCAGCTGATTTTGGGGGTCCCTAGTGTTCCCTCCCCATAACCCCCATTTCCCCCAGCTGATTTTCGGGGTCTCTGTGTTCCCTCCCCATAACCCCCATTTTGTGCCCCCAGCTGATTTTGGGGGTCCCTGTGTGTTCCTCCTCCATAACCCCCATAACCCCTCTGTGTGCCCCCACCTGATTTTGGGGGTCCCTGTGTGTTCCACCCCCATAACCCCATAACCCCCTTTTCCCCCAGCTGATTTTCGGGGTCCCTGTGCCGAGGCCGAGGGTCGCCGCTGGCACCGGCGCCACCTGCGCTGCGTGGAGTGCGAGGGACCCTGGACCCCAGAGCCTCCAGGAGGGGGCGGCTCTCTGCCCCCTGCCATGCCCGGGGGCTCATCTGTGCGACACCTGCGGGGACCCCAATCGGTGAGGGGAGGGCGGGGGTCCCCAAGGGGGCTTTGAGGGGTCCCAGGAGGGGTTGGGGGAGCTGGGGGAGTTTGGGGATCCTGGGGGAGGTTGGGGGTTGAGGAGTCCCAGGGGTCTCTAAGTGGGGTTTGAGGGTCCCATGGGGAGTTAGGGGGTCCGTGGTCGCCAAGGGGAGTTGGGGGAATTGGGGTCCCAGGGGTCTCCAGGGTCTCAGGGAGAGCTGGGGGTAGGGTCCCCAAGGGGGTTTAGGGGGTCCCAGGGAGCTGGGGGTCCTGGGTTTCCAGGGGGAGGTTAGGGAGTCCCAGGGAGGTTGGGGGTCTTAGGGTTCCCCAGGGGGTTTAGGGGTCCCAGGGGAGGTTGGGGGTCTTGGGAGTTCCCAAGGGGGGTTTAGGGCTACCAGGAGGTTGGGGGTCTGGGGTTCCCAAGGGGGTCTTGGGGGTCCCAGAGGGAGCTGGGGGTCCTGGAGTCTCCAGGGGTTAGAGGCTCTCAGGAGTTGGGGTCTTGGGATTCCCAAGGGGGTTTGGGGGTCCCAGGGGAAGTTGGGAGGGCATTGGGGTCCCCAGGGGGGTTTAGGGGTCCTAGGGGAGGTTGGGGTCTTGGGGTCCCCAAGGAGGGGTTTGGGGGTCCCAGGGGGTCCCCACCGGGGTGGGGAGGGGGCCAAGAAGGGTCCCATCCACGCAATCTGTCCCAGCCCCCTGTGCCCCCAAGATCCTCTCCAGGGCACCCCCAGGGATCCCCAGACCCTCCCAGTGCCCCCAGTGCCCCCAGTCACTCCCAGTGACCCCCCATGCCCCCATAACATCCCCATGGCCCCCTGTGCCCCTCCCGTGACCCCCAACCCCTGAGTACATCCCAGTGCCCCCTGGCCCCCCATGCCTCCAATAACACCCCCTAGGACCCCCTGGGACCCCTAATAACCCCCCTGGGACCCCAATAACCCCTCCAATGACCCCAATAACCCCCTGGGACCCCAATATGACCCCCCATATCCCCCAGGCCCCCCACGTGTCTCACAGCGGACAGCACTGGCACCCCTGTGACCCCAATAACCCCCCCAGTGACCCCAATAACTCCTCCATGTCCCCCCAGGCCTCCCATGTCCCATAGGGGGCAGCACTGGCACCCCCTGTGACTCCAATATGACCCCAATATGACCCCAATGTGACCCCAATATGACCCCAATATGACCCCAATGTGACCCCAATATGACCCCAATAACTCCCCCGTGTCCCCCAGCCCCCAGGCCCCCCACATGTCGCACGGGAGGCAGCACTGGCACCCCTGGGACCCCATAACCCCCTGGGACCCCAATGTGACCCCACTAACCCCCTGGGACCCCAATGTGACCCCAACAACCCCCTGGGACCCCAATAACCCCCCTGGGACCCCAATGTACCCCCACCAACCCCCAGTGAGCCCAATAACCCTCCAGTGACCCAAATAACCCCCCAATGACCCCAATGTGACCCCAATAACCCCCCAGTGAGCCCAATGTGACCCCCAATCCCGAGTACATCCCAGTGCCCCCTGGCCCCCATGCCCCCAATAACACCCCTGGGACCCCAGTGACCCCAATAACCCCCTGGGACCCCAGTGTGACCCCAATAACCCCCATGACCCCAATAACCCCCCAGTGACCCCAATAACCCTTCCAGTGACCCCAATGTGACCCAAATCTCCCCCCAGCCCCCAGGCCCCCACGTGTCCCACGAGCAGCACTGGCACCCCTGGGACCCCAATAACACCCCCTGGGACCCCAATGTGACCTCAATAGACCCCCAATGTCCCCCAGCCCCCAGGCCCCCCACGTGTCCCACGGGGCAGCACTGGCACCCTTGTGACCCCCCATGTCCCCTCAGCCCCCAGGCCCCCACGTGTCCCACGGGGCAGCACTGGCACCCCTGGGACCCCAATGCGACCTCCCATGTCCCCCAGCCCCCCAGGCCCCCACGTGTCCCACGGGGCAGCACTGGCACCCCTCCCCTCGTGTTTCCGCTGTGCCCCCTGTGGGCTCTCCCTGCTGGGCCGGCCCTTCCTGCCCCGGGGTCAATCTTCTGCTCCCCCGCTGTGCCGGGGACCTCCGAGCCCCCACGGGAACCCCCAAACGGCGCTCGTGGGGGGACCCCTGCAGGTGAGGGGGTGGGAGGGCTGGGGGAATGGGAGGGGACTGGGGGAACTGGGAGGGACTGGAGGGGACTGGGAGGGGACTGGGGGAACTGGGAGGGGGCTGGGGGAACTGAGAGGGAAGTGGGGGGTATTGGGAGGGGCTGGGGGGAACTGGGAGGGACTGGTGGGCACTGGTAGGAGACTGCAAAGACTGGTGGGCACTGGGAAACTGGGAAGGACTGGGGGGACTGGGAGAGACTGGGGGATACTGGGAAGGGATTGGGGAGAAACTGGGAGGGACTGGGGAAGATTGGGAGGGACTGGAGGGAACTGGGAGGGACTAGGGAACTGGTGGGCGCTGGGGGAACTGGGAGGGATTGGGAGGGGACTGGGAGGAGAGTGGGGGAACTGGGAGGGGACTAGGGGGAATTGGGAGGGACTGGGGGGAATTGGGAGGGACTGGGGGGCACTGGTGGGCACTGGGAAGGGACTGGGGGAACTGGGAAGGGACTGGGGGGAACTGGTGGTCACCGGAGAGGAACTAGGGGGGAACTGGGAAGGACTGGAAGGAACTGGGAGGGGACTGGGAAGCATTGGGAAAGGACTGCAAGGGACTGGTGGGTGCTGGGGAGGAACTGGGAGGGACTGGGCAGACTGGGGGGAGACTGGGGGGCACTGGGAAGTGCTGGGCAGGAGTTAGGAGGGGACTGGGAGGGACTGGAGGGCACTGGGAGGGAATGGGGAGGAACTGGGGGGGACTGGGAGGCACTGGGAGGACACTGAGGGGGTCATTGGGGACACTGGGAAGGGCACTGGGCTGGTTAACTGGTTAACTGGGGTTAACTGTGGGGGTCACTGGGGGGTTACTGGGAGTACTGGGGGGTCACTTGGGAGACACTGAGGGGGCACTGGGGGTTACTGGGAGGTTACTGGGAGCAGGAGGGAGTCACTGGGAGGTTGCTGGGAGCACAGGGGGATCACTGGGGAGTTACTGGGAGTATGAGGGAGATCACTGGGAACACTGGGGGGGTCTCTGGGGATCACAGGGGGGGTCACTGTTGTCCCCTCCCCCCAGGGTCGCAGCCCCGGTTCCGCCGGGCGGGGCCGCATCGTCACTCCATGCCGGAGCTGGGGGCCACGCCCCGCCCCTCCCCCACCACGCCCCCTCCTCCCCCACCCTCCTCCCGTGACCCCTCCCCCTCCAGGGCCCCTCCCCCCTCCGTGTCACTTCCCATGGCCCCTCCCCCTCTGTGTCACCACCCAGAGCCCCTCCCCACCCACATCACATCCATTGACCCCTCCCCTCCAGGGCCCCTCCCCCACACACATCACCTCTAATGGCCCCTCCCCATCCAGGGCCCTCCCCCTCCGTGTCACTTCCCGTGGCCCCTCCCCACCCGCATCCCATCCAATGGTCCCTCCCCCTCCATGGCCCCTCCCCTTTCCCGTGGCCCCTCCCCTCCCGTGTCACCACCCACAGCCCCTCCCCACCCGCATCCCATCCAATGGCCCCTCCCCTCCGTGTCACCACCCACAGCCCCTCCCCACCCACATTACCTCCAATGGCCCCTCCCCCTCCATATCACCCCTCCCCCCACCGGGCTGGGTCCCTCCCCTTCCTCCCCAGGCCCCCAGGATGCCCCCCCGTGTGAGTGGGGGTCGGTGGGAGGGCCGCCCTGTTGGTCGTCCTCGTCCTCCTCATCCTCGTCCTCGAGCGAGGGGCTGTTCCTGGGGAGCCCATCCCCTCCCCCTCAGCTCCGCCCCCACGGGGCCCCCCGGACCCCCCAAAACCCCCGGCCCCGCCTCCCGCGGCTGCCGCCTGGCCTGACCTCTGACCCCTGCCGTGACCTCTGACCCCTGCCGTGACCTCTGACCCCTCTGTGACCTCTGAGCTCTGCTGGTGACCTCTGACCCCTGCGGTGACCTCTGAGCTCTGCTGGTGACCTCTGACCCCTGCGGTGACCTCTGACCCCTGCGGTGACCTCTGAGCTCTGCTGGTGACCTCTGACCCCTGCGGTGACCTCTGACCCCTGCGGTGACCTCTGAGCTCTGTTGGTGACCTCTGACCTTTGATCTCTCTTGGTGACCTCTGATCTCTCAGGGATCTCCTGCTGACCTCTGACCTCTCTGTGACCTCCTTGTGACCTCTGACCCCTCTCGGTGACCTCTGACCTCTCAGGGATCTCCTGCTGACCTCTGGCCCCCCAGTGCCCTTCTCTGGGTGACCTTTGCCCTGTGACCTCACCCAGACCCCCTTTGGTGCTGACCTTTGACCTT